GCCAACCCAGAAGATAAATTTGTGAAAACTGGATACTGTGACTGGAAGCATGCTACTGGGAAAACAGGTGCTCTAGTAAAACAATGTCTCAGAGAAGCACCAAGAAGCGATGGCTAATTGGAGTGCACTTACTGTACAACCTCACACTTCAGTTGCTTCATTGCTAGATCATAACAGAAGTGAATTAATTAGTAACAACCGTCACTACATTAAAGTTGTCGTTAAAGTTGTCCTCTTTTGTGCTTTGCAGGAGATCTCTCTACGTGGTCACAGAGAAGGTGAATCCGCTTCAAACAAAGGTAATTTTCTTGAGCTAATGGAGTTGCTTTCTAGCAATGATAAGACTCTTAAAGCACAGTTGCGTGCCCTTCCTAGAAATGTAACATATACTTCACACACAATACAGAATGAGGTTCTTCACACATTAGCTACAAAAGTGCGTTCCACTATTTGCTTCCAAGTCAACGAAGCTCGATATTTTAGTATTTTAGCAGATGAGACAAGAGATGTAAGCAAGCAAGAGCAAATGTCTTTTGTTATTAGATATGTTTCTGTGTCTGATCATTCCATTCAGGAGCGCTTTCTCACATTTGTTCATGCCACTGGATTAGACGCTCCATCTTTGACACAATACATCAAAGACACACTGGCATTATATAATCTCAATCCCTTGTGCATTGTCAGTCAAGGTTATGATGGTACCAGTGTCATGTCTGGGAAGTGTAGAAGAGTACAGACTAGAGTTAGAGAATTTGCACCTCATGCTGTGTATATAAACTGTCATGGTCACATTTCAAATCTAGTTCTTGTTGATTCAATTAAATCAATCAACCGAGCGGCTATGTCTTTTGCCTTGCTTCAGGTACTTTATGTCTTTATATCTTCTTCAAAAGTCCACGAAGTTTTTCTAGCAAAGCAAAAGCAGCTACATCCAAGTAAGCAACCAATGGAATTGCAGAAGCTTTCAGACACTCATTGGGTTGCTCGTTATGCCTCAGTGAATGCTGTCTGTAAAACCTTTGATTCAATTCTTTCTGTCATAGAAGAATTTAATGATGGTTCAGATTTTGAGAAATCCATCGAAGCTAGGGGTATATACCATCAAATAAATTCCTTCTCTCTCGTAGTATTTGACAAAATACTTTCCTGTACTAAATAGCTGTCCAAACAGCTCCAGAGTAGAAGTATTAATTTATCAATGGCTACAAACCTCATTGTGGCTACAAAATCTTTATTTTCTGATATGAGATCACAATCATCATGGGATAATATATATCGCTATGCTAGTCAAATTGCAGATTTGCACTCTATTCATATTCAGCCTCTGTCAATGCCCCGACCCAGAAAGAGGCCTCCTCGGTTAGAAGACTGTAATCATGGAGTCCGTTTGTTTTCGTGAGACAATAAGTGTGGCAGATACCAATAAAACCTCTTTTTACTATCCCATTCTGGACAAGTTTCTTCAGGAACTGGAGTTAATGTTTCATAGAAGCAACCTCATTATTTTGAAGGGAATTGCATCATGTACATAATCATCATGATCTTTTCTCTTGAATGAAGACATTTGCGATGGAATATGATGTGGACAGTGATGGCTTGGATGTTGAAATCAAGTTGATTAGAAGGTCACTTGCTAACACTACAGTAACTGTAGATTCTTTAATGTCCTTCTACAACCATCTTCATTCATCACAACCTGCTTTATGGAAATATTACTTTGCTGACACAGATATCACTCACCATAGCTGTGACTAGTGTCTCCTGTGAGAGGTCATTTTCTTCTCTTAAGATTATAAAGAACAGACTACGAAGCACAATGACTGAGGATCAATTGTCTGACTTAGCAGTATTGTGTGTTGAGCGAGATGTTGCCAGAAACTTGGATTTGGAGGAAATGGCTGATAGTTTTGCCTCAATGGACAAAAATAGGCGGATCCTTCTTAAGTATTTAAGTAAATTTATTCATCTGTTATTACTAATAGTTATAACAATTAATAAGTAGTTATTATAGTTAATTAAGTAGTTATTAAGTTGTGCCCACCCTGAAAAAAAATCCTGGATCCGCTCCTGCCAACAATTGAAGATGCTAGCCTAGCTAGCCACTCTCACAAGTTAACTGATTGTCTTGTTTCCTACCTTTGTAATCTAAAGCTACTGCCACAGCTTAATTAACTTCCTTTAAAATGGCAAGTGGCATTGGGACTTGACTAGATAACGTAATTTGAGCTTAAAAAAGCACATGATACCACTCATGATGCTGGGAATGAGTTAACATGTGTAGC